CACAGGGCTCAAATCTCACAAACTGACTTGCACTCTCTCTCCCTCTGAAAGTAAATAAACTTAAAGTAGGAAACACCAGGAACTCTGTACATTTCACTCATTCGACCTTTCTTCCACTACACGGACAAATGGGCAGACTGGACTCCAATGAAGAAAAATATACCTCTTACTATGGATTATAATCATAAAGGTTAAAATAGAGACTGCAAATTGTAGGTTCAGACAACTATTAAGAACTTTAAAAAGTAAAGGACATTTTCAAAGGGGAATTTTATTTAAAGAAAATTTAAGGGCACCTGCGTGGCTCAGTCAGTTGAGTGGCCAAACTTGGCACAGTTCATGATCTCACAGTTCGTGGTTTCGAGCCCTGTGTTGGGCTCTGTGCTGACAGCTCAGAGCCTGGAGCCTGCTTCAGAAATCTGTGCCTCCCTCTCTATCTGCCCTTCCCCTGCTCATGCTCTGTCTCTCTCTCTCCCAAAAATAAAATAAAAATATTTTTAAGAGATTAAAAAAAAAGGTTTAAAGGTTAAAAAATTTAGCTCAACACTGTACTAAGAATGTTTCCACAGAATGCCAGTTTTTTTTTTAAAAAAAATTTTTTTTAACAATTGAGAAACCTTGACTTTCTTTGTGCATTCACTGTATGTCAAGGCCATGCAATAGGATCTAGGGTAGCTGTCCAGAATCAAACTTTTCTGCAGTGTATTGTACACATATTCACACTAATTGGAAAAAATAAAGGTTATGAAAAGCTCTGGGGCACCAGGCTGACTCAGTCAGAAGAGCATGAGACTCATGACCTTGGAGTCATGAATTTGAGCTCCACATTGGGTGTAGAGATTACTTAAAAAATAAACTTTTTTATTTTTTTAAATGTTTTTTTATTTATTTATTTCTAGAAGAGAGAGAGAGAGAGACAGCGTGAGCAGGGGAGGGTCAGAGAGAGAGGGAGTCACAGACTCTGAAACAGGCTCCAGGCTCTGAGCTGGCAGTCAGCACAGAGCCCGACGCGGGGCTCGAACCCAGGAACCGCGAGATCATGACCCAAGCGAAAGTCGGACGCTTAACTAAGCCACCCAGGCGCCCCCAAAATACACTTTTTTAAAAAAGAAAAAGATTATGGGGCACCTGGGTGGCTCAGTCAGTTAGGCATCTGATTTGGCTCAAGTCATGATCTCACGGTTTGTAAGTTTGAGCCCCACATCAGATTCTCTGCTGTCAGCACGGAACCCACTTCAGATCCTCTATCCCCCTCTCTTTCTGCCCCTCCCCTGCTGGTTCTCTATCTCTCTCACAATAAACAAACTTGGGGAAAAGAAAGATTAAGAAAAGCTCCAAGTCAGGTCTTATACCAAATTTGAGAACAACAAAACTGCTTCTAGTTTCTCAGATCCCAGGGCACACTCAGAAAGATAAAGGATCACTGCCTCTATGTTAGCCTGGGGAGGGATTGCCGGGAGCCGCACCGGCCTCTCTGGATGGCAGTCACAGCAAGGAAATGGAAGCGTTTGCACAGCTCCTGTCATGAGAAATGAAAACTTGGTATTTCCTTCTGCTACTACTGGCTCATGTTGGATATAAGCCTGCTGGTATGGACCAGGCCTCAGAATATTCCATATCAGACCAATATTCCGAACACAGATACTTCATAAGGAAAAGCATATTCCTGCCTTTACAAAAGAGATTTTAGATGAAAGCTCTGTGGGTGATTGTCAAAAGGCTCTTCCTATGGGCCTTGCAGACCCAAGACTTAGATAATACCGGGGGTTAAGAGCACAAGAGTTACAACTGAGCCTGGCCCCAAGACAAAGAGCCTATTTTGGGGTTTAGGGCAGAACATTGTTAGTACATATATCTTTGCTAATTGGTGAAGCATAGCAGTCCCTTCCTCAAGGTCTACATTCCACAAACACCCTCCCTTACACTGGCAGCTGGGATGAGGATAGATAAGAATAGCTAAAACATAAACCCAGGTGCAAAGACTGACACATTTAGGGGCCCCATGTTAGTTTCCACAAACAAACCAATTCAGAAACATTCATCCTCTTGAGGGCCAGACAGAATGACTCCTAGCTTATCTATATACAATTCAACTTGTATGTTACCCTATTTTTTACTAAGAGCATTCTGTTATTTCCTTGGTCGGAATAATTCTGCAATTCATGTCACAAAAGGCCTCCCATTCTAAGAAATTCTTTTCTCTGACTTCATGTTGTTGCTGAACTTTTAAATAAAGACACCAAAACCAACAGGACAGAGATACCTGCCTGGTGATAAGAATCTTGGGGCTCTCTCACTCTCGCCGACACCGTCCATCCTTCAGGGACCCCTGGACCTGCCGGAGCCAGCCCGGCCTCCAGCAAGGGATGATGGGGTGGAAGATGCAGCTGGGTAAGGACTGTAGGTTTTTTCTTTTTTTAAATGTTTTATTTCTAGGAGGGAGAGAGAGAGAGAGAGAGAGAGAGAGAGAGACAGCGTGAGCAGGGGAGGGTCAGAGAGAGAGGGAGACACAGACTCTGAAACAGGCTCCAGGCTCCGAGCTGGCAGTCAGCACAGGGCCCGACGCGGGGTTTGAACTCACGAACCGCGAGATCATGACCCAAGCGAAAGTTGGACGCTTAACCGACTAAGCCACCCAGGCGCCCCACTGTAGGTTTTCCTTGATAAGCAGAGTAGTAAACACTGGCTACTGATCATTACCCTATATGCCTTTTTATGTCCCTGTCCCTTTAGTATTCACAGCGACATATTTTGAAAAGCCGTTTGGGGAAAAGCCTGGGTGGCTCAGTCGATAAAAGAGTCTGACCTCGGCTCAGGTCATGATCTCACAGTTCGGGAGTTTGAGCCTCATATCAGACTGACAGCTTGGACCCTGGAGCCTGCTTCAGATTCTGTCTCCTCTCTGCCCCTTCCCCACTTGCACTGTCTCTCTCTCTCTAAAAAAAAACAAACATTTTTTTAAACTAAAAAGAAAAGCTTTTTCAAGGTTTCCTACACCCAGGGCACCTGGGTGGCTCAGTTGGTGAAGCGTCCGACTCCTGGTTTTGGCTCCGGTCATGATTTCATGGTTTGTGAATTTGAGCCCTGTGTCGGGCTGTGCTGACAGCTTGGAGCCTGCTTGGGATTCTCTCCCTCTCTCTCTCTCTGCCCCTCCCCTGCTCTCAAACAAAGTTTCCTACACCCCCAAGTCCAGGAGTGCATGGGGCATAGGTGTGGGTATCAGTAATCTGCCATGTTCTAAAATGTCCATGCAGCGGACATTATCATTTCCCGTTTTACACATGTTGAGCCTAAGGCAGAGAAACTTAAACTGTGAAGCAGGATCTCTAAACAGCTTTTAGCCCAGGTGGAGTGGGAAGGGCAGGGCCTTGGATTTATTTTTGAAGGGGGCGGCGGCAGAGTGTCTATAATAGAGGTTTGTATCCATGTTTGGGGTACAGGCAAGATCCAAGGCTTGAAATATTTGCAAGCCAGGGACTTGGTCTTCACGGGCCTTGGGATAGAGGTTCCCAAGGCACCTCTGTGTGGGAGTTTCTGGTCTTTGTGGGTTCCTGAAGAACTTGCACACTAGAGAAATTCGGATTAGACTGAAAGCAGAGGGACTGACAGGCATTTCAAGGGGGCTCTGTGTCCCATTATCTACGAATTTGATCAGCAATTACAGCGAGAAAACCAACGGGAGTCCTCTAAGCCCTTTTCTTTAGAGCAAATAACAGCAAGAGACTGGGCTGGGTTACAAGGCACCTTGTATTTTAAGTAAGCCCTACGCCCAATGTGGGCCTTGAACTCAACCCCAGGGTCGAGTCACATGCTCTACTGACTGGAGCCAGCCAGGCACCCCTGCAAGGCACCTTCTAACATCAGAAGAGCAGAGCAGGTCGACCAAGTTGTTAATAAAGCTCTGGTCTTTGTTGGCTTCAGTTAGATCACTGTCGCAGCTTTGTGGTAGGTTATGGGATCCTGTATCAGGGGACATCAAGGGTGAGGACACTTTACTTCCTGACAGGCAGGGAGCAGAGGTGCCACCCCCCCTGCCATGGCCTACCTACAAGGCAGTAATGGTGCTCTTCTTGCCAGCCCTGACCGCCTTAGCTCTCAGGCCAAATACCCAATACCCAAGCAGTGGTGGTAGCCACAGTGCCTTCACCTGCGCCTGGCTGAGTGGACCAGACAGCTCTAAGTTTCCTGTCTCCATCCACCTGCTAAAGCAGATTCAGGGCTGCTTGGATTTGTGAAACGGTCCTTGGGGCCTGGGATCAGGAGGGCTTTGACAGAGCACCATTGTGAATCCTTGTGAACGAGAGCTTTGCTAACTGTTCTCATTGACTGTATATGCCGATTAAATGTACTTAACTCGGGGGCCTGGGAGTCTCAGTTAAGTGACTCTTGATTTCAGCTCAGCTCACAATCTGTTTGTGAGATGGGAGCCCCACTTTGGGCTTTGTGCGATGGTGCAGAGACTGCCTGGAATTCTCTTCCTCTCCCCCCCTGCTTATGCTTTCTCTCAAAATTAACAAGAGAAAACGTGAAATGCTCAGGAAGATGAGGCGACAGTTCAAATAGCTGGAGAACAGAAGAGCCTGGGGTTTGAATCCTGGAATCTGAATCCAGAGTCTGGGCTCTTAGAATCTTTTGTAATCAGAATCCTTCCAGGTTTCCCAGACCAAGGCATGTTTAGTCTACCTCCATCTCCCAAAATTTCAAAGAAACTAACTGGAAATACTATTTATGCCAAGGTTTAACTTCATCTGATGTTTTAATTCTCAGGACAATCCTGTGAGGAGGGCACCCACCTGATGCTCAGAGAAGCTACGGAGATTCAAACCCAAGCAGTCTGATTCCCAAGCTGACAGTATTCAAATCAATGGGATGAGGAGGTCATATCAGGGACCCAAACCCCACAGTTCATGTAATATATACCCCAACCAAACTCTGAAACCTTCGTGGTAAAAACTTTAGTTTGAAAATTAGGATGAACAAAGAAAAAAGCACTATCAGTCTGTTTTCACATTTCAACTTTTTAATCAGCTCCGTGAAGGGCATCCTAAATGCTAAGTGAAACACAACAGAATATTTTTTTTCCAGTATTAAAGAAAAGGACATTCACAAGTTCTAAGAAACTTCTGTGTATCAGGGTGGTGACCTTGAATAAAAAACAAAATTAAAAAAACAAACAAACCCCAAAACCACCTCTAATCACATTATTGCAGCTGCATTAGAAATTGGTTCTTAACCATGATAAACATTGTACACATTAGGCCTTTAAAACAACCCTAAATGCACATCATTTGGAAAAAAAAAAAAAAGTGACCAAACATTTTTTGCCATAACCAGTAATCCTGAGAGCCCCAGCTAAAAAACTGGTAAAAGGAAAAATACCCAGAGACTCCACACGTGTCCCAAGATTTGTCTTTAAATGGGAGAAAAACTTTAAAAGACATATGAACTTTCTAAAAGGTCTTTGTAACAAGGTACCTTGGGAGCTCAATTCAAAAAGAGAAGTTGATGTACTAAAACAGATTTTTCAGTGCGACTCCAAAAATCTTTCTAAATACAGCCATTTGGAACGATGATCCTGGATCAGAAGTTTTATTCCTTGTGTATCTGAGAACAGTAAGAAGGGGAAGAATTGTAATGCTGGGAAGGCACAGGCAAACATGCTCACCTCCCGCGGCTGACAAGGACTGCTGAAGGCTGGACAACAGCAATACTGCTTCCTCTCCGCCATGCCCAGCAAGTGTAGATTACAGGGGAGACAGGTTTTTAAGACACACACCTCCTCCCCCCCCATCAGACTGGCCCTGACAGGCACCTGAGAACAAAGGAGGCCTAGGAAAGGTGTCAGGTGGGACAGTGAAGAATGTGCAGGCAGAAGGGGAGTAGGACGAACATGACAGGGCTCAGTGGCAACATATAAGCCTCACCTACATTAGGTGCACATGCCTCATCTCAGTTGTCGTAATTGTCTCTGTAATTTCCTCCTGAGTAGCGGTCATAATAACCGCCCTGGCTTCTGGGAAAAAGCACATGTCAGTGTTAACAGGAATGTATCATGTACACCTTAATATTAAAAACCATACATATTAACATACCCTGTGCTTTTAAAAATGTACTATAACACGCACTTCAGTACATACAATGGGATATAATCAAGCACGTGAATGTCATACGGAAATAACGTAATTACGTAGTATATTTACACACAGCACAAATGCAATGTAGCCAACTAACACATGATAAACATGCTATCTACCATATCATACCTACACCACTTTACAATTAAGGCATTATAGAGAACTCATAACGTATTAAGTTTCATATTTATACTTCCACTACATTTTGTATTAAAGAATGCTAGTAACACCAAAAGGAAATATGTATGAACTCTCAGGCAGCTGAACTCTTTAAGAAGGAAGCAGCGCCACCAGAGTACCCCAATCCCTTGGCTACTCACCTGCCACCGTAGTCTCTGGTCCTTCCATATCCATATCCATACCCATACCCATACCCATATCCTCCAGGCCGACTGTCATATCTGCCACTCCCGTAGCCGTGGTCCCCACCACCTACAGCAGATTAAGTAAAAGTTAAAAGACAGTTGTCCAGGCACGGGTCACTAACAAGTGGCTCCCTCCCATACCCAAACTTACCACTGCACCTACCTCTAGAGTAGCCGCGACCACGCCCATGGGCCCCAAAGGCACCCCCTCTAGCTCCCCTGGCCGACTTGCCCGCGTGATCCACACGGATCTGGCGACCATCCAGAGACTAGGTGTGGGGAGACACAAGGAGGATGGATTGGTGGTCAGACAGGACAGTGGTAAGGGAAGAATGGGTAGGGCAGGTGGGCACAAGAGCCCAGAAACTCCTGCTGGGCACCAGGTTCTGGGTGCCATGTTCCAGAACAAGCTCCTTTGACCACAATGGCTTTATCAGGAGCTATAGAACCCCACAAAATGACCTGAATCCACCGGGTTCCCCTTGCTACTACTTACATCTTGACCGAACTCAGGCTGAGTTCTCCTCCCCACTCCTATAAGCTGCCCCACTATTAGGGCTAGACAGACACCTCTCTTGGTTTGAGACTTCAGAGTCCATCCCAGAAGACTCACGAGGTCCTCTCCGGGCCAGGCCCGCAGGTCTGCAGACTCTACTACCTAAGCCCAGGGCAGGTCAACCATCCACAGGTGGCTTCTCGGCCTCATGCAGGACCAGTCGTCGCCTCCCAGGCAGCCCGGCTCTGTCTGCCGCTGCCCTCCACCCCCTAGAACAGAAGGCAGTCACGCTCCTGTGAGTGGGCACTGCGGGGTTTGGTGGCCGCGTTGCCCCTAGCAGACACAGAAGGAAAAACAGAAAGAATGGTGGAAGTGGCGGATGGGGGCAGGGCCCCTATGCAGGCAGGAGGCCTCACCTCTCCATTCATGGCTCTCATGGCATCTGAGGCATGCTCTGGGTTGGTGAAGGTGATGAAACCAAAACCCCGGGATCGCTGAGTCTCCCGGTCTTTGACAACGACCACTGGCGAAAGGAGAGAGAATGGGGATAAGTAATGGAAATAACAAAAGACTGTCGGGTAGAGAATGAACCTCCCCCACCAATCCTCAACTGAAAACTACAGGGTTCTCGTAAAACTCCACCTTAGGCCTAGGAACAGGAAAAGGCATTATGTGAAAGCCCAGAGTCCCAATTTTACTCCTTACGTTTCTCCAAACGCAAGGCACCCAAGACTTTCACGAACACCCCACTCATCATGCATCTGGCCCATGTCTCACCTTCAGAAATAGGACCGAAGCTGCTGAAGTGGTCTTCCAGAGCCTGCTCATCGGTGTTGAAATTGAGCCCTCCCACGAAAAGTTTCCCTTCTTCCGAAGACATGGCAGTGAACTGGAGTACGGCGGGGAAGATGAAAAAGTGTGGGAGAAACCGCGGACGTGAGAAGGAGAAAAAAATTGGGCGTAAGAAACGACGAGAAGAAGAGGAGCAATAGAAAGTAGACACAGCAAACGAGGCAACTAAGAAGAGAACAAAAAGACAAACAGAAAAGGCGGGAATATGCGGTGCTGGGTCAGCCAAGCTGCCATTTGCGGGCCTCATTCGCGCATGCCCAGACCACCCTCCACTACCACGCCCGTCATTTTGTGCCGCCGCGCAGGCCCAGAACACCCTCGCGTTCCCTCTGTGCCCGCAGAACAGGATGGCGGCGGTCACGTGGGGGCAGCCCCCCCCCCCCCCCCAAACTTGGCTGTCGCGCGGTCACTGCCGCCACGGACGTCTCCAACCCCAACCAGCATTCCTCGCACTCGGATAGGGCACACCAGCCTCCCACCAACAGCAAAGTTTCACCCCTAAGCACGGGACCCGCCCGCCCACCGGGAAAAGCCCCAGCCTACGTGTCAGAAGTCGCTGCTCTCCCCACTCGTGCACTCGCTCCTGGCCGGCGCGGCGCACAGCAGCGCGGAGAGGAGCAGTCAGCCCGCAAGGCATGCACTGCTTACCTGCAAGTTAAGCGATAGGAGCAGGTAGACAGCTACCACCGACGAGAAGAGAGACTCAAGAATGCCGCGCGGGAAGGCGCTTGATAAAGCCTAAGTAGAGAGTACGTCACGGAACGCCCCCCTCCCCGCGCACAAGCGTGCATGCTCATTGGGTGAAGCCAGCAAGGGGGGTTCGGGGGCGTGGAGATGGGTGGGAGGAAGGTACGGCACAGCAAACGGACCAATATTCTCAGCACGCTTCGGGGCTTGGAAGCTAGCTTTGTGTGATTGATGCCCCTGGGTTCCGCATCCTTCACTGGCCCAGCCGTCTCCATCCCTTAGGCGCACGGACCTTTTCGCCCTTATACCCATTTCCGTCTGTGACATCACCCTCGCTATCCTTGACCTTATTTCTCCCGTTGGTTCGGACATGTTCCTGCCTTCTCAGTCGTATTCCTGAAGGCCCCTGACAACAGTTACTGTCCTCTGATAACTTCCTTCACCTCCCAGTCCTCTCATATACATGAAGGGCCTGATGTATTTTCCTCACTGTCCCTGCCATCCTAACCCTTCACAGTCCTTAACGTCAGACCTTGCGTTAACCCTTCACAGTCCTTACCGTCAGACCCTGCGTTTTCTCAGTGTCTAATCCTGATCCCTATGTTTACTTCTCTGTACCCAACATCTAGCCGCCTGTCATGAGGTCCTTTTACCTGGTGTCTTTCTTTCTCATTTCTGACTTCATCCCTCCTCCTTCTCTGACAGCTTCCTGAAGCCGGTCTCTTGTTTCCCTGCCAGTAGACTGCCTGAGAGGACTTCTACAAAATGGGATGCTCCAATCTTCTGAGGGAATAAATCCCAGTTCACAGAAACATTTTTGCTATCACTCAGAGTTCCCGAACCCTTGATCCGCAGAGAGGACTTGCACAGTACACAGTGAACTTACCCAAAGCAAGGAGTGGCTGAGCTCACTACTCGAGATTTGGTCTTGTCCGGCCTTCTTGATGTGTCTGAGCTCCACATCAAGGAGGACTGGGTCAGTCTGATCTCGGAAACGCAAATTTCTTATCCATAGAATGAACCTGTCCGGCCTTCTATGGGTCAGCCCTCCCAACACAGAGTAGATTTGTTAACTTTCAGATTACAGTATGGTATGCACCCACAAAATGGACTTGTGGATTTTGCCATATCCAGACCTCCTATGCCCAGGATGGATATGAATAGATTTCACATTGTCCACGTACATAATGGCTTTAGATAGCCCTCAGAGAATCTGAGCCCTCATGCAAAAAAGAAGTACTTGTTTGCCTCTTAAAGTGTCTGATCTCTGATCATTTTCTTACAGTTCATGACACATTTTCATTGTTGTTCCATGTAAAGCCCCTCATTTTATTTATTCTTTTAATCCTGCACCCAACTGTTGATCTCTTACTCCCACAGGTAATCATTTTATTGGACTTGAAGTGTATCTCTCTTTTTTTTTTTAATATTTTTATTTTATTTCTAGGATAGAGAGAGACAGCATGAACAGGGGAGGGTCAGAGAGAGAGGGAGACACAGACTCTGAAACAGGCTCCAGGCTCTGAGCTGGCAGTCAGCACAGAGCCCGACGCGGGGCTCGAACCCACGAACCGCGAGATCATGACCCAAGCGAAAGTCGGACGCTTAACCGACTAAGCCACCCAGGCGCCCCGAAATCTCTTTCAACTTTTCTTTCCTAATAAAAGTATTGAAAGTTATAGGTTTCTCTTATTAACTGATTTTGCTGTGTGCGACAAGTTTTTTGTGTAGTGTTTATATTATTTAGTTGTGAACATTTCTTTTTTTAACATTTTATTTAAGTAAGCTCTATGCTCAATGTGGGGCTTGAACTCTCAATGCCAAGATCAAGAGTTGGATGCTCTACTGACTGAGCCAGCCAGGTGCCCCTGGTTGTAGTTTCTTCCTCCCTTCCTTCCTTCCTTCCCTTTTTTTTTTTTTTTTTTTTGAGAGAGAAAGAGTGTGTGGGCATGTGGGGGATGGGGAGGGGCAGAGGGAGGGAGAGAATCTTAAGGAACCTCCATGACTAGTGCAGAGCCTCATGAGGGCTCCATCTCACAACTGTGAGATCATGGCCTGAGCTGAAATCCAGAGTCAGATGATTAACTAAGCCACTCAGGAGCCCCTGTAAATATTTCTAAAGTTTCTTTATGGTTTCTTCTTTCATCCAAGGGTTATTTAATAATATTAGTTTCCAAAACTGCGGGTTTTTTTTTTTAGCTTTTTGATGTTTCTAATTTTATTGTGTTATGGTCAGAAATAATGTTTAATATTGATACTTTTGAATTCATTGAACTTTTCTTTGTGCCCTAACATGGTCTATTTTTGTAATTGTTAAGTATAAGTATAAAAGGAGTCTTCTCCATTTGTTAAGTGCTGGGTTATTTAGAAATGTGTTTTTATAGGGGCACCTGGGTGGCTCAGTCAGTTGAGCGTCAGACTTCAGTTCAGGTCATGATCTCGAGGTTTGTGAGTTCAAGCCCCACATCGGCCTCACTGCTGCTAGTCTGTCAGGGCACAGCCTGCTTCAGATCCTGTCCCCTTCTCTCTGCCCCTCCCTTGCTTGGGCTCTCCCAAAAATAAATGATTATTTTAAAAAGAGAAAGAAAAAGAATGTTTTACATATACATGTATCATATATCAATTATATATCAAGCTTAAAATGTATTGTTCAGCACTCCTTAAGAGTGGATGTGTTTATGGTAGACATATCTTCCTTGTCGATCAGTATATGTCCTTCTCTTTTGTGATCTTAAATTGTATTGTTAGCTATTGGGATAGTTACCCCAGGTTTCTTTGGGTTTTTATTAGTCTGCCGTATTCTTTCTTCATCCTTTCAACATTTCTAAATCTTTGTGTATATTGTTGGAACTTTTTTTTAATCCAATGAGAGTGTCTGTTCTAAATATTTGTGTGATTGCTATTATATTAAAAGTTTTGATATCCCAGTTCATATTCTCCATTTACAGTATTTTTCTGTTCCCTTTTTTCTATCATATTCATACCTAATATTTTCTTTGGGTCTTTTTAATATCACTTATTCTGTTTTTTTTCTTAAAAAATTTTTTTATGTTCTTTATTATTGAGACAGAGAGAAACAGAGCATGAGTAGGGGAGGGGTAGAGAGAGAGGGAGACACAGAATCACAAGCAGGCTCCAGGCTCTGAGCTGTCAGCACAGAGCCTGACACAGGGCTCGAACCCACGAACTGTGAGATCATGACCTGAGCTGAATTTGGATGCGACTGAGCCACCCAGGCGCCTGTTTTTCTTTCTTTCTTTTTTTTTTTAATTTGTTAATATTTACTTATGTGTGAGAGAGAGAAAGAGAGAGGCAGAGCTTGAGCAGGGGAGGGGCAGAGAGAGATGGAGACACAGAAACTGAAGTAGGCTCCAGGTTCTGAGCTGTCAGCACAGAGCCCAACATGGGGCTTGAACCCACAAACCCAGAGATTATGACATGAGCTGAAGACAGATGCTTAACCAACTGAGCCACCCAGGCACCCCACTTGTTCTGGTTTTATATTCTAATATTATCTCTTATTTGTTGTTCTTAAAATTCTTCATGTCTGTCCCAGTACTTCTGCTTCAGATATATATGTCATTCAGTATGGTGGCCAGCCTCTAATATAGCCCCCAGTGATCCCTGCCTGATGATGGTATTTACCTCCTGTGTGGTTCCCTCCCATGTTGTACCAGGGTTGGTCTGGGTGACCAAGAAAATACAGTATTGAGTGTCTGACTTAGGCTCAGGTCATGATCTTGCGGTTTGTGAGTTTGAGCCCCATGTCAGGCTCTTTGCTGACAGCTGAGAGCCTGGAGCCTGCTTCGGATTCTGTGCCCCCCCCCCCCCCCCCCCGTCTCTCAATAATAAATAAACGTTAAAAAAATAAAAAAACTACAGCAGAAGTGATGGTATATCATTTCTGAGGTTAAGTTAAAATACCACTAGAGTGCTGTCTTGGTCATGGTGTCTCACATGTTGTGAGGAGCTGCATGGAGAAGCACAGGTGGTAAAAAACTGAAGCCTCCTGTCAAAGCCTCGTGAGTGGGCCACGTTGGAAGTGGTCATTCAGCCAAGTCATGCGTTCGGCTGACTGCAGTTCTGGCTGACTTTACTGAAGCCTCAGATGAGACCCTGAGTCAAAACCACCGCTGAGTGGCTCCCAGATTCCTGACACTCAGAAAATGAGAAAATAGGGGTGCCTGGGTGGCTCAGTCGGTTGGGCGTCTGACTTGGGTTCAGGTCATGATCTCGCGGTTCGTGGGTTCGAGCCCCGCATCGGGCTCTGTGCTGACACCTAGCTCAGAACCTGGAGCCTGCTTCGGATTCTGTGTCTCCCTCTCTCTTTGACCCTCCCCTGCTCACACTGTCTCTTTCTCTCTTTCAGAAATAAACATTTAAAAAAATTTAAAAATTTAAAAAAAGAAAATGAGAAAATGTTGTTTTAAGCTGTGAAGTTTGGGGGGTAATTTGTTATATGGCAATAGCTAACTAATACATCCAATTTATTTTTCTCTGGAGGAGTTATGCTGCCCTGGTGTCTAGTTGTTTTGGTGGTGGGCTCATGTTCCCCTGATGGAAGCGGCTCTTCTGGCATATACATTGTATTGAGGGGAGGCTGAAGGCCAGCTTCGACTCTGCTCAATCACCTGGAGTGAGTCAAGTGATGTCCCATCTGCTAGCACACCACTTGACAATTCTTCTGATAGAGGTTTCATCTTTAAACCCCAAGGGGAGCCCATCTCCCCAGGTGTCATCACCAGCCCTGGTGTCTGGAAAGGGGCAGGTGGAGACGTGATTGCCTCTGGCTGCTCATTTCTTCCCCTCAACAGGGTTCTTGCTGCCCTTATGGTAGCTCCCCAGACAACTGTAAGTGGTTTGGATGATGTCTGCAGTGTGTGTGTGTGGGCAGATAAGAGCCTTCCCAACATGGGGGGGCGGTTAGAGACAGAATTTAAACCTATCCTGTATTTGCTGCCTTCAGCCGTTGCCACTCAAAACACAGGCCATTTAGAGACAATCTTCCATTTTCCCATAGGTCTTCATAGCTGTGCTGAGGTTTCTGGAACTCACGTTTCCCA